TTCTAAAGACATCTTCACCATTGATCTATGGAACAGAGGTTAACCAAAGTGTAGTTGGATTGCAGCCACCAACAATTCTGGAATCAGAGCCGACGCCATCACCATCAAGAGTTAATAATATATACAATAGATCACCATCAAAAAATACGGATCGAAAAGATATCCAAGTATTATCAATATATAAGGAACCCGTTACCCATCAACCAACAACAACTGAACTCATGATAAAATCCATCACATTCTCATCTGCAGCTACGAATCGAAAAAATATACAAGTATCATCAATATTGATGGAAGCTATTCCCCAGAAGCCAACAATAACTAAATCCATAATAAAAGCTACTAGCACAGTTGAGAGTCGAAAAGATACAAAACTATCATCAAAATTTAAGGAATCTGGTAAGCATAACTCTTTAGCACCGAAAGGCGCGAGTTACAGTCAAATAGCTGTACATACAATATCTAACGAATCAGATAATATAATAAACTCCAAAAAATTTCTATCGGCCACAAAGACAGTTAATGAATGGAAACCCCATACACCAAATACTTTCAATTTAACTAACTTAACAGCAGCTTCATCAAATACTGCTGAACTTCTAACCATAACCGACTCTGTAGTTAAAACTTTTTCGATATTAAAAAAAATACAAGACGCTGTCACTACACCGATTTGGAATTCTGGAGCCGTGTCTACAAATACTTATTATGATAATAATGGCTCAAATAATAATCTAGACTTGACTGCTTATAACAATATTGAAAATTCGCTATTTTTTTTGGAATCATCGGAGCCAATGGAGAAAATTTCATCCACCAAAATTTCTATGGGGAACTTGAATAGCAATACATTTTTCAATAAGATAACGACTATTCGTCCCAATGAAAACTTTTTAAAAAACAAGAGTATCACTTCGAAGACAATTAAATCTTCTTCATCGCGAATCGCTGGTAGTGAAAAGGAAATAATTACACAATTACCAAATACCTTAATATATATGCCAACTTTGATGGATACTAAAGAAATTCTGACTACAACCAAAACTAAATTATTAGATTATATAGGGGATAAATCTAACACTTATGCAATAATACCTAATAATACTATAAAACTGGACTTCCGACCCGACATGTCTAGCATATTAATTGTTATGACAAAAGCTAATAGCAATGAGAATAGCGAAATCATCGACCCAGAAATACCGTTGGATAATGTTACGAATATAACATTTTATACACCCACTCGAGACGAAGAAATCCAACCTCCTATCAACTCTAATAATGTGCTGCTTGGAGGTATCCTAATAGAGACCCCTCCGAAAACCCTATCGGGTCCAATTACATCACCAAAAACTTGCAATCCAGCTTGTAAGCCCAACAGAAATGAGATATGTACCAATATCTCAGAATTCGTGAGTCACTGTCAATGCCGGCTGGGATTTGCTCGCATGTTCCCGGATCGACCCTGTAAACGTAAGTAAAGCTATATTAAAGATTTAAATAATTTTAAATAAACATTCAAATTGCGATGTAATATTTTTATACCCTGAACCCATTGAAAATGGGAAATCAGGGTATAAGGGTTTTGTGAAAAGTATGTAACAGAACAGGCAGAAGGAATCATCGCAGACATATATATATTCTTGATCAGAACGACGAGCTGAATCGATATAGCCCTGTCCGTCTGTCCGTCCGGTCGTCTGTCCGTCTGTCAGTATGTTTGAACGCGTCGATTTCAGAAGATATGAGAGATACAGAACTCAATTTTTTTTCTAAATGTCCGTATATACCACGCGGATATCGAGTTTTGCTTTAAAATCTATAACTTTCCCCATTATTTTGTTATCGATTATAAACATTAAAGAAAACCAGTAATAAATTTATATCTGCTACATCTTTATGGCTAGAGTCGCCAAGTTTTTAATGTAGATTCATATGTACTTTATAGAATTTCGATTTTTGTCAAAATTTACCCCCACCGCTATATTCACCCCTCACCCACATATTTCAAAAAGGCGTATTTAAAAAAGTAGAGACTTGTGCTTTGGCAAATACATGCATATCCAAGTTATAATCTAATCTGCAAGTTTCATGAAGAAAGTATGTACATTCACAAGCAAAGTTATTAAACAATTAAGTTCTTATAGTAAGCGAACACTGCAGCCCATGCGTGTTTAGGCGTAGGTGCTTGTGTGCGTGTATGTGTGTGTTTGTGTGTGTATGTGTGTGCTTGTGTGTGTGTGTGTGTGTATGTGTGTTTGTATGTGTGTGTATGCGTGTATGTTTTTGTGTGTGTCTTGTGTAAGCAGAGAAACGCAAAAAATGATTGAAATAGCTAGAGCAGTCTCGACTAGAGCTTTCTTACTTGTTTTACTTTGCGCTTGGTTCATTGATAAATGATAACGAGAGTGACCAACTCAAATATATAAAAAAAATCGAAAAAGAATATAAAATATTTCGCAAAAAAATATATCCCGATATATATATATACAGTAGAATCCGGTTATAGCGACACTCAAGGGACCGTCGATCTTACGTCGCTATACCCGGAGGACGCTTTAACCAGAAAGAGTAAAAAATAAATTTTTTTTTTTTTTCATTTTTATACCCATTTTCGATGGGGAATCAAGGTATAATGGTTTTGTTGAAATGTATGTAACAGGCAGAAGGAGGCGTGGCAGACCACAAAGTATATATATTCTTAATCAGGGCGACGAGCTGAGTCGATTTAGCCCTGTCCGTCTGTCTGTCTGTCCGTCCGTCTGTCCGTATGTTTGAACGCGTCGATTTAAGAAGATATAAGAGCTAGAGATGTCAAATTTTTTTTAAATGTCCGTATTTACAGCGCGGATATCGAGTTTATCACTAAAAATCGATAACTAATCCCGTTCTTTTTATCGATAAAAATGTTATCGAAAACCAGTTATAAAAATATATTTCCTATACCTGTATTACTAGTCTCAAAATTTGTTATGTATACTAATATGCATTTTATACAATTTCGGTTTTTGTAAAAATTTACTTCCCACCTCTAATTCATCCCCTCACCCTCACATTTGTAAAAAGCGTATTTCAAATACTAGAGACTTGTGCTTTGGCAAATACATGTATATCTATTTTATATTGCTAATCATGAAGATAGTCCATCCATAAGAAAAGTTATTAAACAATTAAGTTCCCAAATTAAGCCAACACTGCAGCCAATGCGTGTTTAGGCGTGGGTGTGTGTCTGTATGTGTGTGCGTGTGTTTTGTGTAAGCAGAAAGACGCGAAAAATGGATGAAATAGCTATTGCTCGAAGGGTTCAGGGGATCTCGTAGTCGAGCAGTTTCGACTAGAGCTTTCTTACTTGTTTTTTTACGGTTGCCATGTTCGTAATAGCTTTTACTATAAAACAATTTAAATTTTTAATTAAAACAACCATTTTTATAAACTTCTTTCAATAAAATGGCTTAGAAACATTTTTGTGACGTCGGCATTGTACTTTGTCTCTCTCCCTCTCACTGTGTTAGCAACATTTGTGGCGTTGCTACGCACACAAGCAAGGGTACTGATCACTGATCAATACATATGTACATGTTACATTTCTAACACAGTCTTTTTATGTTGAAATTTGTTGTCATTATTTCGCGATTTTTTTATCACGTCGTAATAACCGGTGATTGACTCAAAAATATGAAAAAAAAAAAAATTGTCGGCATAAGCGGATTGTCGTTTAAAGCGGAGACGTACTAAGTGGAGGCTCTTTCATATAAGTTTGTATGGGGACCAACCAAGACATCGAATTTTCGTCGACATAACCGGTTCTACGCTTTAAGCGGAGTCGTTATAACCGGTTTCTACTGTATATATATTTAAACATAAAAATATCGATATATTGATATTTCTATATATTTTCGACAACTCTACTAATTTTCGTAAATTTTATTTCAAATTTTAATATTGCATTTTCTTTGTATCCTTACAATGCAAATCAACAGCAACATATACTTTCGAGTTGCGCATGCCAATTACAAGAGTCGGAAGCTACCTACTGAAGTTTAACGATGAGCCTTTAAGCGATTCCTTAAATCAAAATCGATATTTAAGATCAATTATCGTTGATGCTATCGATCGCATGATTATGCAATCAGACTTTCGTGATATCTACTACGGGGTCCAGTCAAAGGAATTCAACTCTCGAAAGGACGCTGCTGTATTGGGAAGCTTCTTGCTAAAGGTTATGTCGCTAAAACTAAAATTGAACTATAATTAACTATAATTAAGTTTATAAACTTACAATTATAATTCTTTAATTGTAAACTTATCTTTTCAGTTGTCTGAAAATAGTGATCTAAAACGCTTAGAATCTGTTTTTAGGAAATATTTGCGACAGAGTAACTATAGTGTTGGAGGAACCGAATTGTATACTTCAAAGGAGGATATAAATTCGTTAACAGTTAAAGGTAAGCTGTATGCAACAAAAATGATTTATATTACGTTTAATATTTTGTAACTGCCCAATGGGCTATCCTAATCGCTTGTCTCTCTCTCACCACAGTCGTAGGATATAAGATTTTACTTACCTTAACTTAAAAAAATTCAAAAATCAGTGTACGTTTCGTAAAAAATATATAACAGGTAGATGGAGGCGTGGCAAACCCCAAAAAGTAGATTTATGATGACACAAGTTCTTCCGTTGCTGTACTTACAGCCATCACCAACGCGTCGCCCTGTACATTATTTTTGAGGATTATATTTGCGTCAGCATATAGTATTTTTCTTGGCTCGGATGTTGTTATAATTTTTGTGTTAATTTTCAACTGCATGATTGTAACTGTGGCACCGATATAATGGATAAATGCAAACTTAGCAGACGGAAAGTTAATGCGGCATTCCCAATTCTAGAAAATATGCAATTGTATAATGTACATACATACATAAATACGTGGCTTTGCCTCCAGCGAATGCTTAAGTGCCATGGTGCATTCATCCCAGATAATAATTTTACACTGTTTCAGCACAGTGGCCATGGATGATTGTTTTTTAATCTTACAAACTGCATCTGGATTATTTTGAATGTTCAGTGGCAGCTTGAATGCCGAATGAGCTGTTCTGCATCCATCAAATAAAGTAGCTGCAATGCCAGATGAGGCAACGGCTAATGCTCGCTTTGCTCATCTCGTGCCTCTTGCAATTGTGATGCACGTAACTGCGCCATGCTTACACGGACATCTGCATTGCTTTGTTGCCTATCTTCATCTGCCCTTTGTGGTCTTTTATCTTGCATGCTTCTAGATTTGAGTGGTCGACGACTCAAATTACCCCGTTGCGTTTTCGTGGCATTGTTGTCTGTTAATCAAACATACATTAATCAAGTTAAAAAACAGTTTGGTGATAAACAGTAACGTAATATTTTATTCGATTGTTTATTATTTGCCTTACCTTTTATACTAATAAAACACGTATATTTATTAATCACGTTCGTATTAATAAAATGTGTATAAATAATGGTTTACCATGAGAGCATGACCGAAAACTGTCACTGTTATCAAGAGAATCGTTCGAATCGTTCCCGGGGGAGTTTGACAACAAACACCGCGACACGAGAATTTTATATATAAGACAAATATAAATAAATATATTGTAATATGTATATAAATATCTAACATGTTTAGATTTTGATGAATGTGCGCACGATGACTTCAACGATTGTTTCGTCCACGCCCACTGTTTTAATTTGGTAGGCAGTTATACCTGCAGCTGCCCAGATGGCTATGTTGACACTTCCGATAATCCCGTTTATCCTGGTCGTCATTGCTCAGATGAGATTATTGGGTGCGATAAATGTAACTACCATGGCCATTGTGTGACGTCGAATATAATATTGAATGAAACTTCAGTATGTGAATGCTTTGCTTGGCATGCGGGAGCAAAGTGTCAACTGAATTTGAAGATATTGCTGATTAGCCTGATTGCGATTGGTACAGTTTTTATCTTGTTGGTGGTCTGTACGCTGCTGATCTATACGAAGCGCAAAACCTATGGAGGAACTAGGACGATACCTATTTTTATAAACACATCCAATTATCATCCAAGTATGTTGACTTCATCTAGCAACAAGTCAGAATTGTCCTCTGTAGCTCATATGCGCAAATCAAGCATGGACAAGCGTAACATTTTGAGTGATTCAAATAGCGAATCGAGTCACAATGCAGAACAGTATTCAACATTTAAGGTGACATTTAAATCATTTAATAGTTATTATCTTGCTTACGAGAGGTTTTATTTTCTGATAGGAATCAGAGAAGGCGGTTCAATCGGATCGATCACTTACTGTAATGATTCCACGAGCTAAATACTACCATCCATCGGTCCTACCTCACACACAGCAATTAACACAACACGAATTGACGTTAAGCGAGGTTGATAGTACTCCATTATCCAAAGCAACTCAAAATGATATCAAAACTAAATATAAAATTGCTGATCCACCGGTAAAGTCCTCTAGTAAAGAGTGTGGCGCATTGGTCTCTGCCGGCTTTGAGGTCTCTGCAATCGTCAGCGATCGGCCAGCTCAATTGAATAACACAATGATCGACTGCAAAAAAAATGCAGCTACAACTGATTGCGAATCATCTCAAGCACAACAAATGTCTATAGAAAGCTTAAAGGACCTTTTAGATTCAAAGGAGTAAGTTAATAATACAGAATACTTTACGCCCTAGTGCCCATTTATTTGTTTTATTTCAGGGATTTTCATAGAATGCAATCTTGGATGAGAAATATCCATAGCACTGAAATGTAAGTGACATTAAAATCAAATATTTAAAAATCAGGGTATAAAAAAGAGGAAACAAAAAAAATTCAAAACTGTTTCATATATTTTAACTAAACCATATCAAATATCCCATATAAAAAGGGCAGTTTACACTGCTTTAAATGTAGAGTTTGATGTCAAATATTTTATATTTAATATTTAATATTTTAAATATGTGCAGATCAGCTGATATACGTTCATTCGATGAAACAACTGTTCACCCTGTTACCAAATCTATTCATCTATGTTTTGAAAAGCGAACGCGAAGCAATACAATTGAGGTAATGTCGAGACAGAATGGCACTAGTCGAATAACATTAAATATAAAAAAAAAATAATAATACAAAAATGATTTCTGCTAGGAGGCGAACACAATGGCTGAGAGGGACCTTGGCTCTACATTTTTACTGCCGCATACACATCTTTACAAGCCAGAAAAGGTTTGATATTGTCATCAAAAATTTAATTTGTAAACAATTGCATACAATTTATTTGTTATAGCTCGAGAGTGACCTGTCTGGCTTTGACTCTCTGTGAAAATCAATGATTGATCAATCAAACGTTAATTCAAGATCCCTACTAAAATATACATATGTATTTATCTCATGGGTACTATTTTTTGAACCCTATTTATATGTATGTTCTGAAAGTGTACTGGAGGAAAACCACTTTCTAATGGATTGTTTTCATATCGCAGACAAAAAATTACGAGTTTATCTTAAAGAAGTTTGCATGGCTACGAGGAATCTCTACTTGTCGTACACTGCCGGCTAAGCCACGAATTTTGTTATTTATTATAACGCAAATGTGTTACTTAACTTATACTTGCAACTTAAGCAAAAAAAAAAAATATTTATATATATATGTAATGTAAATATTGGACTATCAAATTGAAATCAATCTAATCTATTTGCATTTATTTACTTTTGAATATTAAATAAAATATATGTAAATTGTTAATTGTGCCAGCTGTAACTTATAATAAACATAATTAAATAACTTCCGTAATATAAAAAATTATTGTAAAATACGTATATAAAAAATAAAATACAATTTGAATAAAGTTAACTAAGAGTTCTTGAATGCACACCTAACAGCCTGCTTGAGTACGAGCACTAACCAGAGAACACATAGACCGGACACGTAGTGTAAAGCGTTTTGCACACTTTTTTTTCGAGAGCTATCTCCCACACCACTTCGTATTTGCTCGGCTCTTTACTTTTAGGTTCGGGCTACGAAAATATATGTATGAAAGCACAATCATTTCGCTTCATGCGATCGACCAAGATGGTAATATGTTGCACAAAAGATGCCTCTATGCTCAATTTTTTTTCTTGCTCTCTCTCTCTCTCTCTCTTCTCTTTGCTCTCTCAAGTATGTATATGTATGTATGCATTTGAGCACATGCAGCAGCTCACGAAAATTTAAATTTCTTTTCGTTTCTTCCCTTCTGTGTGAAGAGTATACCTAACTCTTCAAATCGTTTGCCATGCTCATCCAAAGTTTAGCTTTTTAACCCTATAATGGTTTTGTTAAAAGTATGTAACATGCTGAAGGAGGCAAGGCAGACCATAAAGTATATATATTCTTAATCAGGGCGACGAGCTGAGTCGATTTAGCTTTATCCGCCTGTCCGTCCGTCTGTCTGTCCGTATGTTTGAACGCGTCGATCTCAGATGATATAAGAGCTGGAGACTTAAAATTTTTTTCCTTGGTCCGTGTATATCATGCGTATAAAACATTTTCGGAAAACAGTAATAAATTTATATCTGCTACACCTTTAAAGCTAGAGTCGCCAAATTCTAAATATATATTTATATGTACTTTATAGAATTTAGATTTTTGTCAAAATTGCATGCATATCTATGTTATATTCATAATCTGAAAGTATCATCAAGATAGTCCATCCACAAGAAAAGTTATTAAACAATTCAGTTCCCATAGTAAGTCAACACTGCAGCCAATACGTGTTTATGCGTGCGTACGTATGTCTGTATGTGTGCGTGTATGTGTGCATATGCGAATAATTATTGAAATATCAGTTGCTCGAAGGGATCTCGTAGTCGGGCAGTCTCGACTAGAGCTTTCTTACTTATTTTTTATATTCGTTTATTAACAACTTTTACAATATGCGTTTAGGTGTGTTTAGGTGGCTAAGGGTAGAGCACGATGCTTGCGGGACGGCCGTAAAGCATTGCTTCGCAAGCACTTTGCACTCCCTTAGCTTGGGACAGCTCGTCTTCGATCGATTCTGCGAAGCTCCATCATGATTGTGGTCGCGAAGGTGCTTATAAGTTTCCAAGCTGCCTCCGCTTCCAACATCACGCTGACCATGTTGTCCGCTCTAATGGAGCGGCCCAATGCTTCTTCCAGACAACGCCTCTTCTCTAGGAAGCGTCCACATTCGAATAAGACGTGGTTGGCGTGGCCAAAGCGCTTCAAGTAACTCCGAAAGCATCCATGTCCCGATAGAATCTGTGAAAGATAAAAATTAACTTCGCCGTGTTTGCGGGTTATTCATGGCTCAAGCTCAGGGATAAGAGTATTTGTCCACCGCCCTTTAGTTGAGCTGTTCCACCTTCTTTGCCATCGTGCAATGCTGTTCGCCCTGATATCGTTGCGTCGTATAGGCTCGTGTGCATTCCGTTCCACGGCATCGGCGACTAAGTCCTCCAGAGGCACCATGCTGGCTATGACGAGCACTGCGTTGTCAGAGACTGTTCTGAATGCGCAGCAGACTCTGATTGCGCTCAGTCTGTAGATGGCGCAAATGTCCCGGCTGTAGCTCGGCGTTGCCATCGCTCTTGACCATATTGGCGCATCATAGAGGATGACAGACCTAATGACGCTCATTAGAAGAAGACGTCGTTGCTGTTTAGGTCCCCGCGTGTTAAGCATAATTCTTGAGAGAGCTCTACAAGAATCAGCTGCCTTTTTATGCACATACTCTAAGTGCTCGCGGAAAGGTAATCTTTTGTCTAACATGACGCCAAGATCCTTAATCGCCCTTAATCGCTCCTTGACGCGATGGTGACGCTGCCTATCCTTATATTGGCAGTCTCCACTTTTTTGCGACTGCTTACTAGGACGACTTCCGTCTTGTGCGCCGCAAGCTCGAGCCCAGCTCTTGTCAACCAGCTTCGTATGCGATTGATACTTGCACTGCACATATCCTCTGTATCTTTAAGCTCCTTACCTATGGCGACGACAGCTACATCATCAGCAAAGCCAATGGTGTGCGCACCTGCTGGTAGTTCCAAGCGCAGTACGCCGTCGTACATGATATTCCATAGGAGAGGCCCCAGCACTGAGCCTTGGGGTACTCCAGCTGACACTGTATGAGTTTGGGGACCCTCACTAGTGTTGTATACAAGTGTTCTTCCTCTGAAGTAGCTCTTTATTATCTCTTTTAGATATTTAGGGATATTATATTGTGACAGCGCATTCAGTATCATATCCCAACTAGCTGTGTTGAAGGCGTTCTTAACGTCCAGGGTCGCGATGATGCAGTATTGCTACGTCCCGTGCCTCCATCTGGTGCCTTGGATGGCGGAATTGTTTTTCGAAAAACGTAGACCTACCCCGAGCCCGTTGATAGCTTCTTCTCGCCTGGATGCATTTGCGTCGAATGTCACCTATTTTTGTATTCCACCAATACGTAGGCTCTTGTTGTCGCGTAAACTGCTTGCGGCGTGACATGCTCTGGTCTCAGCATTACCAATTGTGCCCAGAGACTGAATGGCCTCTGAAAAAGCCGCGGAATCAAAAGTATCCAGCCGATACGATTCCCTCCACAAGGTTGACGCCCTGGCAGGTGGCTCACCTATTGTGAACAGAAGTGCCGTATGATCGCTGCCCGTATAGCTATCGCAGTGGCTCCATGTTGCTTCCCGAACGAGGGATGAAGTGACAAAAGTAATGTCAATTACATATACGTATCCAGCCCGACTGAAGGTGAACTCGTGGCCAGTGTTGAGCAGTGCAACATCTAGTGTCGCGAAAATCTCCAGTAAGATACGGCCTCTGGCATTTGTTGTGTGGCTACCCCATTCTTACGCCCAACATTCGTTGTATTGCCACTTACACACAACACCGCTTTGCCATTAGCATCTGTTGCCCATGTCCTAGGGCAGCTGGTTCTACAGTGGTGAGGCTCACTGAGAAATGCTACGTCTATACATTTTCCCCTTATGGTCTGCTCTAGAAGATCTTGGGCAGCAACACAATGATTTAAGTTAAGCTGAAGGAACCTTAACATTTCATTTTACAAGCAGCCTCGCGGTAGGATGGGCACTTGAAGCTGCCTGCTGAGTGGTCCGTCTGCTTTTCACCTTTCCGGATGCAGAGGCTACATTTTGGTGGCTTAGTGCATGCTTTTGCACTGTGACCCATCTCTCCACACCTGAAACAGGCGCCCTTTAGGTGACAGTCGCTGCCGCAGTTTGCTGCCATATGACCGTAATCAAGGCACTTGAAACAGCGTTTAGGCTGATCCACGGCGCGGATACGGCATACAACCCATCCAATTCTGATTTTTGACAGCTCGAGCAGAGTTTTGACTTTTCCAATTGGAAGAGCAACTGTAGCTCTTTGCTGTCCACCAAAAGCCGGTCGAAGCGACTTTATAGCCTCAATGGGGAGTGAGCTATCCTTCAACTCCGCCCTAATTGACTCCAAGATCTCCTCTTTGCTCGCTAACTCATCTAGGTCACGAATCTCAATTTGAGCCGATTCAGTCAGTGTTTTAACTACCGCTCACCAAGGCCTTGCCTACAGCTTCGTGAAGTGACCCAGCGCTATGCTCCGGCTTTCTACTCAGTTGCAACAAAAGGTTCCCCTTAGTTGTCTTCCTAATGAAGGAACGTCGCCGAAGGAACGTCGCCGCTTAGATGCTTTAAATTTGGGTCGGTCTTGATTACACGAAGCACGTCCGCATAGCTGCAACCATCCACGCCTGAAATCGCGATTGCGTCACTTCTGGGTCGTTTTTGCATGGGCTTGCGTCCTTTAACGACTGTCCAGCTGTTCGGGTTTGTCTGTCGACCTGCCTGATTTGAATTTTCAGCTGTAGCCCGTAGAGCCATTGGTTCTTTTGGGTTCGCTGCGCCTTTATTGGGCCTCGGCATTTTTGGGGTTGTTTTCCTCTGATCGGTGGCAACTTCCCTCAACCGCTTGGCTCGACTACTTTCTGGAGCGGCATGGTCTGCACCTCGCAGTTTTAAACCGGGCGGTTGCAGAGATTTTCGGCCGTCTTATGGAGATTGACCAGCCTAGACAGCTCCTCTCTCATTAGGGCATTAATATGCCACTGACCCCCAAAAAAGGCAGTCAAGCCCTCTAGCGTAACTCCTATTTGGGCTAACGCTTCTTTTAGTGAGTTGGGTGCCTGGCACTCAGCCACTGGGGACTGACTAAAGGTCGACGGTTGCGGCAGCGCCCTCTGTTGTTGCTGCGGTGATCGCTGCAACGAGGAGCGACGCGCGAAAGCTTGCAGCTCGTCCTCCATCCTGGCATCCATTTTTTGCTCCGACTACAACGACGTGAAGCCTTTAGTGGGCAATGGCTACTAATATATTTTGAGTTTACAGACCGCAGTATCTTAAACTCAGCTTAACTACAGCAAGAGCCCGAAAGTATGCACTACTTTTAGTAGCTGCGTCTTCAATCCAGATGTTAGGTTGCTGTCTTTGCTAAGACTTAGTAACTCACCAAAGTTAGTGAGCAGCTGATTGTCCGCTGCAATTTCCAGCACTACTAACAGCTGTTAGAGTGAATGCACCTGATTTTTATTAATTGCGCAAGTTTGACGCTTAGTGACAAAACTTTTCGCGCTAGAAAAAGAAAAGGAAAGAGAAAGGCCCTGACACCAAAACAATAACGCTATTGCCCCCCTCTCTTGCACCACTGGATTCTACCATCGGGGTACTCCACGAACCGCCGCGCAGTGTCTCTCGTAGCTTTCGAGGTCGCTGGGTACGTTGCGCCCACAGCATATACGTTTTCTTTAGATATTTCCACTTTCGCAGGGAAAAACTCGGAACAAGCTATAGTCAACGATGGATCACAAAAACATCGACCGCACTCCACGAAAACGCAACTCGAACACGTGTGTATGTGTGTGTGCGTGCGTGTTTCTTGTGTAAGTAGAAAAACGCGAAAAATGATTGAAATAGCTATTGTTCCAAGGGTTCAGGGGATCTCGTAGTCGAGCAGTCTCGACTAGAGCGTTTTTACTTGTTATTCTTTAGTTTTAATCAGAGTCGAAGGTGACGTATCGAATAAGACATTTTTCCACCATACTTTTTAAAATTTTTTTGTTTGTTTAATTATTTAGTAATTTTACATGAATAAAAGCATTAGAAATGATTTTCAATATATTAAATTTATTAATTATAATGAAATAGAGAGAATTCGAAGTATCATATTTCATTGCATAGTGTCTCAATAATAAGAACAAAATGTGAAATAGAAATGCTCAAAACAGAACTTTTGCACTTATTCGGCTTTGTGTCTCAATATTTCGAGATGTATTATGATAAAATGTATAATTGGTTTATATTAGTTAAAATTAATGGATTAGTTATAAAAAATATGTTAGCAGAACATGCTTTCATTTTCTTTGAATGCTTTGGCTGCGGTTGACCTTTCTGGAGAAATGCCCATATATAAAACAAAGTGGGATTTGTTCAAACACTTATAACTCGTGATCTGCTGGACCAATTTTCATGGTTTTTGATTTGTTGAATTTGTCTCCGTCGTCCGTTGACGAATACTTGAAAAATGGTTTATTTTTCCTATTGCTATTGAGGATCTTTGCATTGTCATTGAGAATTTACTCAGTAGGCTTGATAACAGTGACAGTTTTCGGTCATGCTCTCATGTAAAAAAATTATTCATGCACATTTTATTAATACGAACGTGATTAATAAATATACGTGTTTTATTAGTATAAAAGGCAAATAATAAACAATCGAATAAAATATTACGTTACTGTTTATCACCAAACTGTTTTTTAACTTGATTAATGTATGTTTGATTAATAGACAACAATGCCACGAAAACGCAACGGGGTAATTTGAGTCGTCGACCACTCAAATCTAGAAGCATGCAAGATAACAGACCACAAAGGGCAGATGAAGATAGGCAACAAAGCAATGCAGATGTCCGTGTAAGCATGGCTCAGTTACGTGTATCACAATCGCAAGAGGCACGAGATGAGCGAAACCAGCAAAGCCAATTCAGCGAAGAGAAGCGCGCAGATTCGTAGTCAACAGCCGTAGAGGAATTGACCGACAACGTCAACAAGTAAATCGAGCATAAATGCTGTAAACAGCACATTCATTTCTTCACCTAGCATTTCACCATGAGCCTGATATTGAATATTACGCTCATTCCAAAGTGGTCATTGCTACATTGGACAAGGAATGCCCGCACTGTATGTCTTTAAATTTAAAAAGTAATACTCCCATAAATTGAAACACCGCCGGAACCGGCACGGCTTCCTTATTAGAACTGGACGCCGAATGCGCACTAGCCAATTTCGTGGATTCCCGTTGCAACTATAATCACCTCAATTCACCTTTTGCAACGCGCATCGTCAGCGACCTGGACGCTCTGTTCAATGAGCACAGTGATTTGTTCAGACTGGAGGGCTGCATGAGTGCCAAAAAAAAACCGTAACCGAATTAACAATGCTCATATTGAAACGAAAATTGTATGAGTGTGTGAGTGCGATCGTATATGACTTAGACACACAATATTGTATTGAGCGCCAAAGAATAAATAAGTTTTGAGCACGAGTATATGATAATATTGAAATTTAGAATCATTATTTTATTTAAGTTGTCATTTTGCATGAGCATGGCAAGCCCCTTTCAAGAGCTTGATATACCCTCTAAATGGAAAAGGGCATAGAAAGAGACAGAGTAAGAAAAAATAGACGCACAATCAGGCTTCATATTCAAATGCGTGCTTTACGCTTGAACGCCTCAAGTGACGGAGCCGAGCAAATACGAAGTGTTGACACGAAGATATGTTTTGGTTAACTTTTGTATTCCTCTTTAGGTCTTATTTATTCTCATTCTTTTTACTAAAGGCAGGGAGATATGAGATATTGAGTGCATGCGATCTCCCACTCAGTCAAAACATTTTATCCTATCACTCACTCACTCAGTCTCAATTCGAGTGCACTCTATTTTACTAGGTTATGAGTGCGGCCATGCAGCTGTCTAGTTCAGACCTACCCGACCTGCACACAAAATTTCGTGAGAATCGGTTCACCCGTTTCGGAGGAGTTTGGCAACAAACACCGCAACACGAGAATTTTATATTGTTCATGCACATGCATGAACATAGAAATATGATAAGTATGGGAACATACATAACAACAACAGCTAGCATACATAAAATAGATAACACATGTGAATGTGTGAACTGTCGAACTAGAAATAAAATATGACTCTGACCCTTAGCGACAAGAATATGTATTATTATATTACTTAGCGATATGATAAGGATAGCTAATAGACCCACGCGGAGCCTTACAAACTCAGCGATAAGATAAAAATATGTAATAGACCAATGCTGAGCCTTACACACTCAGCAATAGACACACTAGATTTAAGGGTTGAAAATATGCTTGAGTCTGGGTATATAAACCCAGACTCAGAAGAATAAAGATCAATGCGCAACTAAACACCATCATAGTCAAGTGTATTCGTTCGTATATATAATATCCCCACACACTTATAGTTAATGAGATATTTTGTATTTAAGTACAAAATATTCCCTAGAAATAATGGATAGGGCAAAGCAACGTTTGCCGGGAAGCACTAAACCGAACATTAAAAGACCTGCGCAATGATTCGAGAGTTCAAATCTCTGGCGATATGTAAACAAACTTCAACTGTCTGTAAATATGAGAGTTGCATTATTGAACGATCTATCTGCTGATATTTTCTCGAAGCAATTGCTGAATATCGGTAATGGCCGTGTTTCTGTCGACGAATCCAGCGGTTTAAATTCATTTCCTCCAAATTTTTATACCCTGAACCCATTTTCAATGGGAAATCAGGGTATAATGGTTTTGTGAAAAAGTATGTAACGGGCAGAAGGAATCATCGCAGACCCCATAAAGTATATATATTCTTGATCAGCACGACGAGCTGAGTCGATATAGCCCTGTCCGTCTGTCCGTCCGTCCGTATGAGTGCGTTGATCTCAGAACTTATAAGAGCTAGAGAGCTGAAATTTGGCATGCATACTCGTGTATACCATACGCAGTACGAGTTTGCTTTATTTTTTCGATAACTCCGATAACTTTTTTATCGAGAATGATCGAAAAATTGATTTTGTTTTTTCAGCCTAATTTGAACACTTTTAGACCTGGAGACCTCAGATTTACTGTGTATATAAAGTTAATAGATACAAAGATTTTGTAATTCACAGATTTTGGATACCACGCCCCCTGATTAATCCCAGTGGGCAAAATGGGATGAGTTTTTGAACCCTTGCACTTGTGCATACATATGCAGGTCAATTTGACACCTTTTTAAAAAGATGAATACGTAAATAGGTCAAATTGATCATTTTTACAAAAATTTGGATTAATCAGGTACCACATTTTTAAAAAACATTCATTCTGATAGGTAAACCCACGATCATTGAATCAAAACAGGTACTTAAACATAAGCGCACCTCTTCAATCAAAGCCCAAAATCGTTCACACCATTCTAAGTTGAGGGAGGCACACGCCAATGTTCATCTCCCATGCATACATACAAACACATGCACACACGCACTTGTAAAGGCACACAGGCACAGTGCTTCTACAAGTTATATCCCAAAATTGTGAGCAGCGCCTCCCATGCGTACACACAATCAAATGTGAGCACTTCACAAGATCGACCAAATGCAAATGCTGGGATTTAAAATTGCTACAGGCAGAAAGAGCTTCGCACACAGGCATACAAATGTTCATAGTACATGCAGCATACTGTGTGTGTGCATGCTCGTCGCGAAAACATTTTAATTATGCGCACCAACGCTTTCATACCCTTCCCACAAATAATAACGAAAACGCATGGCAAACGCTTTGAAAAGTTCGGTATACTCTTCACACAGAAGGGAAGGCATGGGTTCTCGCTGCGAATAAATTTAATTTTTGTGAGCGCTGCTTGTGCTCACATGCATACATACATATACATATTTTAGAGAGCAGAGAGCATCGTGAGAGAGAGAGAGAGCAAGGGAAACATTCAGCGCAGAGGGATCTTTTGTTCAACAGTCGACCATCTCGGTCGAACGCATGAAGCGAAATGATTGTGCTTTCGTATATTTTCGTAGCCCGAACCCAAAAAGTGAGGAGCCGAGCAAATACGAAGTTTCTGGGAGATAACTCCCGAAAAAAGTGTGCAAAACGCTTTACACTACTTGTCCGGTCTATGTGTTCTCTGGTTAGTGGTAACAGACAGAAGGAGGCGTGGCAGACCCCACAAAGTATATATATTCTTGATCAGAGCGACGAGCCGAGTTGATTTAGCCCTGTCCGTCTTTCTGTCTCTCCGTTTGTCCGTCTGTCCGTCTGTCAGTATGTTTGAACGCGTCGATTTCCGAAGATACAAGAGTAGAGCCCTCAATTTTTTTGTAAAATGTCCGTGTATACCACGCGGATATCGATTTTATCATTAAAAATCGGTAACTCCTCCCGATGTTTTTATCGATAAAAAACTTTATCGAAAATCAGTTATAAAATTATATCTCCTACAACTTTAAAGCTAGGTACACACGATGCAAACAATTTGCAGCAAGTTGATTGCTGCAATCAAATTTGCTCGTTTGAATACGAGTGCAAACATTTTGCTGCAAACCAAAAATTTGCAATAACTGTTTGCGGCAACTTTTTTTGCTTGTCGTCTGAACACAGAATTTTGCCGTTAACTTGGTTGCGTCAGTTGTTTGCTTGTTTGCATGTGCTGTTTGCTTTCAGTCACAATATTGCCACAAGTAAAGCAACATGTGGGATCGCGAAAAAATAATTCAATTGATTGAATTGTACGAGAATTTCTCAGTTTTATGGGATGTTTCAGCGGCAGATTATAAAAATAAGTATAAAAAGCAAATTGCAGAAAAATTAGGCAAAAGTGATAATGAAATAAAAACAAAAATTTATCATTTGCGCACTCAATTTTTGCAAGAAGTGCGCAGAGTGAAGCAAAAGAAGAGTGGCCAAGGTACATCGGACAACTATACCAGCAAATGGGAGTTTTTCGATGCGCTTAAATTCATTAAAAATGACGACGGAAATAATTATAAAATACAAAATTTGGTAAGTAATACAATTTATTAAAAATATCAGAGTAATTGCTTATTTCATATATGTTTATATTGCCGTGACACTTCACCATCAAGGTAAAGTCTGCAAATTTTTAAAGTAGATTTATATGCAATTTATACAATTTCGGTTATTGCCAAAATTTACCCCCCACTCCTATACCCACCCCCTCACCCACACCTTTGTAATAGGCGTATTTCAAATACTAGAGCCTTGCGCTTGGAAAATAAATGGATATCCATGTTATAATTATAATCTGAAAGTTTATTGAAGATCGTATGTCCACAAAAAAAGTTATTTAATAATTAAATTCTCACAGTAAGCGCACACTGCAGCCCATGCGTGTTTATGCGTGGGTGCTTGTGTGTGTATGTGTCTGTGTATCTGTTTTTCTTTTTTTGTTTTTTTTATACCCTGAACCCATTGAAAATGGGAAATCAGGGTATAATGGTTTTGTGAAAAAGTATGTAACGGGCAGAAGGAGGCGTGGCAGACCCCACAAAGTATATATATTCTTGATCAGCGCGATGAGCTGAGTCGATATAGCCCTGTCCGTCTGTCCGTCCGTCCGTCCGTCCGTCCGTCCGTCCGTCCGTCCGTCCGTCCGTCCGCATGAGTGCGTCGATCTCAGAAGTTATAAGAGCTAGAGAGCTGAATTTTGGCTTGCATACTCGTGTGTACTATACGCAGTACGAGTTTGCTTTATTTTTTCGATAAATCGTCCGATAACTTTTTTATCGAGAATAATCGAAAAATTGATTTTGTTTTTTTAGCCTAATTTGAACACTTTTAGACCTGGAGTCTTCAAATTTGCGTTGTATATAAAGACAATCGATACAAAGATTTTGTCATTTACAGATTTTGGATACCACGCCCCCTTTCCCCCCAATTTACAAAAAACGCATTTCAAGTACTAGAGACTTGTGCTTTGGAATGTATACACATATTCACCATATAATTACGTTCTAAAAGTTTCATTAAGATCGTATGCCTACAAAAGAAATTATTCAACAAAGAAATTCTCATAATATTGCCCACGCTGCAGCGCAGCCCAAGCGCAGTCGCTGCTTACTGCGCAGTTAGCAGAGCACGGGCTTATGCGTGCGTGTGGATGCATGTGCATAAAAGAAGTGCAGAATGATTATAATATCAGCTTAGAGGGTTCAGGGTATCTCCTAGTCGAGCAGTCTCGACTAGAGCCTTCTTACTTGTTTTTTTTTATACCCTGAACCCATTGAATTGGAAATCACGGTATAATGGTTTTGTTAAATGTATGTAACAGGTAGAAGGAGGCGTGGCAGACCCCATAAAGTAGTAAAGTAGTACTAGAGACTTGTGCTTTGGAATGTATACACATATTCACCATATAATTACGTTCTAAAAGTTTCATTAAGATCGTATGCCTACAAAAGAAATTATTCAACAAAGAAATTCTCATAATATTGCCCACACTGCAGCGCAGCCCAAGCGCAGTCGCTGCTTACTGCGCAGTTAGCAGAGCACGGGCTTATGCGTGCGTGTGGATGCATGTGCATAAAAGAAGTGCAGAATGATTATTTATTTATTTATTTATTTATTTTCTTAAAGCTATTGACAAAAATGAGAGTCAATTTTAATTTAAAAAAGCCTATACAAAGTACACGATATAATTTCAAATAGTAACACCAACCCGATGGGGGTATTTTATTTGCCAGTCCGGCCGGCTATGCCCACGTCTCACAGCCAAATATGGTCAGTGATACTATTGAAGCTATGAAAAGAAAGTGTTAGTAAGAAAACTTAAAAAAATAAAATATTAAAATGTAGGTTATTAAACAATATTTAGCATACTTAAAATAATTCTTAAAATAATAATAAAAAATAAAAAAATAATAATAATAATAAAAAAAAAATAAAATAAAATAAATAAATAAATAAAAGGAGTTAAAAAAAAAACAATAATAAAAAAAGAAAAAAAGAATAAAATAAGAAGAGGTAAAGTATAGAAAAAGAAAAAAGGCCGGTAATAAGAGAAGTTGCAAGAAAAGTTAATAAAAAGAATAAGAAATAATAAAAAGAAAAGAGTAATGGAAGAGCCAAAAATAGAGTATAAGAATAGAATTGAGAAATCACTAACACAACATTAGCAGCAAAAGCGT